ATCTTTATAAGATAAATAAAAACATTTAATACAATAATATACAAATAGTTAATGTTGCTAAAGTTTTTATTCCAAATACAATCCTTAAACAAACTACATTTGTAGTTGTGTCGCTATTAAAGCGTTTATTATTGAGATTAGTATTGTACATTATAGTGAGTCATAAACGAGATGAATGGCAATGTGTTGAAAATGGGTGGCAAATCTCCATCACTAGATTGTGAGGAAGAACAAAAGCTGATATCACCAACAACGCCAACGACGCCGATGATTATGCAAATGACAAAGAACCCGTATTCTTCTTTAAAATATAGGTAAAGCAAAGATATTTAGATTTTTCCCTTATTTTATTTAAAAAGTACAAAAATTCCTTTATAATTTCATATTGTTAATATGAAACAAAATCAAAACATCTGTTAAAAATATTATGACCAATATTGGGTTGATATGCAATCACTCTAGGTCGCTTGCAATTTTCGCCATGAAAATATTACGTATAGAATGACAACACGTTTTAACGTTGCTTTTTAAATATTTCTGTATACAAGATTGGTATTTATGTATTTTAAAAACGAGAAATTGTAATATAAAATTTACAAATTGAAAAACTGTTGATACAAAAAACATTTTTTACAAATAATTAAAACAATGTACTTTTTTTTTAATTTCTTTTTCTCTCTCGAATGTGATATTCCAATCTGTCTATGAAAGTTAAAACATTCTGGTAAAAATATAAAATCCGGCAAAAAATTAGTACATTAAAATTATTATACGATACTATTTAACAATTTAAACTATTTTATATTGGAAATATTTGTAATATAGCAGCAATTGATTAGTAACAAAGATAATTATTATCATAATTATTTTCTTATAAGATTATATTCATATGTATATATCATATACATATAATCAATAGAAAAAAATAATAAGATCTAATGCCGACGCGAATTTAGAAACAAAATATACAAATTGTTCATTAATAAATAAATCTTTATAAATATCTATTATATCTAATCAATTTTTCAAAATAACCGAAAACTTGGAGATTTTAACATTGGTCTTTTTTATAATAGGCTAAAATGAATTTTATCATAATTATTCACATAAAAAGAAAATTATCAAAGAACAGAATTGTACACACGCAGTCAATTAATTTATTAATGAATATAATAAAATAGAAAAAGAATACTTTATCTTTTATAAAAGCTTTTATAAAAGGTGTAAACACAAATTAATTATATAATGTGTTGTGAATATAATACGTATATATATAATTATATAATATTGATATTTATTAAACTATAAATCCTTCCTTTCAAATACAAAAAAAATAATAAAATAAAGAATTGTGCTTATTTACAAAAAAATCTTAAAAGGAATCGAATTAAAAATATTCAAGCTAGTCTAAAATGAGGATAACATCTATGTGATAAAATATTCATAGTGCGTAGTTATATAATTATAATTATATTCATAATATGAACTTTATTATTCTTTTTTATCCAAATATTAATCCTTAATATACGATTTGTCCACTCGTATTCATTTGAACTTCTTTATTTAAAATTCTTTCTTCTGAAATTCTTTACAAGCAAAGGAGAGTCAGATATTAGTAAATTATACATGATTATATATATACAATATATATATATATAGTAAATCCTATACATACCTAATGTGTTCTTATGTAAGTAGGTATATACACGTACGTGTAATAATTTTTAATATATGTATATCTATTAAAATACAAATAGAAATTGCTGCAGGATATAGTAAATAAAGTTGCAAAATAAAACAAAATATTAAAAATTATTACATATATATATATGTACCTACTTATACAAGAACATATTAGGTGTATATAGGATTTATTAATATTACTTGTTCTTCATTAATATCATATATAATCTACTAATATCTAACTCTTTTGTTTATAAAGAATTTCAAATTTAGCAAAGTAACAGAAATGACTAATATTTGTCTATTTAACTGCGATTCTTATCAGCATCTCGTGATGCTTGATAAGAGACTTAGACGTCTATAACAGTATCTTAATGACAGATCTTAATGTTCGAGATCTCGCGGACATATCGCCCATAAAAATATTGGGAAAACAATGAAATTTCATCTCATAAACCGATTATTCCGGATTATACCAATAGATGTATACTTTATGAATTCAAGGAGAATAGTGTTTAGAATTGATAAAGGATTACAAAATACCCAATAAACACCAACTAACAGTTACATTTCCTAATATTAAAATTCTCACTCAACAGTGTAAATGCATGATAACCTATTTCATATACAGGGTGGACCAAATGAGTCTATAATGGGAAATATCTCGAAATAGAGGCATAATACAAAAAAATACTTCAGACAAAAGTTGCAGGGGGCAAAGGGGGACACGCAATGGTATCATTGACTTTGACCTTGAACTCGATTTCCAAGGTTATTTGAAGGTCATGATCATTTTTTTAAATGGAATTATATGAATTTTTTTACATAATATGATTCCTCTAATTATTCTGCATATAAAAGTATTAAGGTAGCGATATCAAAAAACCAATAGTTTACGAGATATTTTATATTTCATTGTGGCACATATTGACATAAAATATTAAATAATTCGTAAACTATTAATTTTTTGATAACCATACCTTAATACTTTTATGAACAGAATAATGAGATGAATCAATTAGTGGAAAGAAAACACATAGTTGCTTTAAAAAAATATGTATGCAAAATGGTGCATTTAGGCTGCGGCCTATACAATAGATGTCCTTGTTTATCCTGTAGGTTAAACAAAGACACCTATCGTGTAGGTCGCGGACTAAACGCACGGTGTAAACGTAGCCAATAATTCGGCTTAGGTTGGTGCAAACCCGATCGGGCACAAAATACCATTACTATTGTATTTAAAATTTTAGCACATTCATAAGAAAATCATTTTATGCAAGTACTACCTTAAACATCTGTTGGTTATATTTGGTCTATAACATATTTCTTGCCTTCGGGTTAGTCAAATTCCGATAGCGTTGTTGGGAGATGTAGGGGATTCGAAAGGGCGGGGGAGATAGGATTCGGTTATTCTTGAGTCATGGAAAATATTGTTAAATTTACGACTTCCTTAGTTATCGCACGTCGAGGGATCGTCGTCAGATAACAAAAAAACTACCCTTTAAAACGTCAAGAATTATTTTTTAGGCTTTCATGGGTATTTTCTTCAGAGGTGTCAAAGGATTTGCGGCCGATACTCACATTATCGGTTGCCATGATCCATCGCTGATGTCAACATTTCATTGGACCTTACCGTTCACTTTTTCAAGGCGAGGAGTACTTCTCGCTCCCCATACAGCATTGAAAGTTTTCAGAAATATTTCAGAAATATTTCAACTGAAAAGTGAAACATTTCATAAAAATTACGAAATATGCCTGCAACATTTCTGAGACAGCTCTGAAATAGCAAAATGTCCATGATTCTTGCACATAAAACCTTGTTGAAAGGTTGATAAAATGTCATAGCAGAAAGAATCTGCAATTTTTTTGAAATGTTACCAAGAGGTTTTAGCCACTTCTAGTATTACAAAAATGATATTTAAATATATACTTGATTGATACTTAAATAATATTTAAATTTATTATGTCGACATAAAAAATTTGGATATTGTTTCCACACCATATCATATTATTCATATACAAAAGTTTTTCGCAATTAAAGTAAAATAACTCATGATAATATCAAAATGACATTAAACTGAATCGTGATTGATAAAAAAATGACTTTTAGTAAACATTTTGGAGCCATTTTAACATCATGACGATTTTTTTGTTCTGTTGAAATATGTTTTTCAATTTATTGCATATAATAGGTCTTAGAAACATTTCTGTTAAAACATTTCATATGACATATTGCAGCATCCTTTCAGAATTGTTGCACATGAGACGTGAAAGGTTGAAACATTTCTGAAAGCTTTCCGCAATAATCGGTGCTGTATGGGTTAGATGAAGTGAACGACAAGGTTCATAAAATGTTGACGTTAACAATGAATCACGACACGACGATAATCCTTTGGCTGCTCTAAAAAAAATTAATAAGTATTTTAAAGCTTGAAACTTGTACTTTAACATGCTTTTGGCCAATTTTCAAACAATTTTTACAAATCTGCATCTCTAACAAAATCGGATTACATTGTTATATTCCTCAAAATTACATACATTCAACAGTCTCAATAAAAAATCTCTTCTCAAAAAGTTTAATATTTTTACAAAAAAAAACAGAGTTTTACAAAATGCTATCTTGAAAATTTTGTTACGATTTTTCTTGATCGAATTATGTGACTTTGAAGCTAAACCTGCATGTATTTCTTATAATCAACGTTAAAATTCGATGAAAAATCATAGCAAAGATTTAAAAAAACATTTTGAAATTAGATGTTTGTATATTAACATGTTTTTGATCGTTTTTAAATTTAATTCTGTTGGAGAGAAAAAGTTTTTGTGTTTTGCTGAATTTCAACGTTGATTATAAGAAATACAAGTTTAGTTTTAAAGATGTGATCATAATTCGCTCAAGAAAAATCGTAAGAAAATTGTTAAAAAAGCATTTTGTAGGTAAAACTCTGTTCTTTTTTTGTATAAAAATATATAAATTTTTTAAGAAAAAAATTTTTATGGAGCTACAGACTGTTGAATGTATGTAATTTTGAGGAATATAACAATGTGATCTTCGTTTTCACCGAATTTCGGTGATCTAAAAATTGTGCAATTTGAAGCATTTTAAAAGTGTTCCTTACTTTTGTTGAGTAGTGTATAATTCATAAATCAATATTAAATCGACAATAACAAGTCTGAGAGCTTTATTTTATTAAATCAGTAAATTAAATTGTCGAAAGAAATAATTTAATATTAAATTTAATATTAAAAAAATTTTGTAAATCGTTAGAAAATAATTTATTCCAATATATTTTAATGAAAAATATATATCTATATTTTAGGAGTCGATACCGGGCTGGACCAACGCGGAAGTTGCGTCGTCGCGCGGTCCTGAAAAATGGCGATTGCAATGTGTTACAATCACGCATTTCCCGACGATCATTGCGTTTTCTTCAAGACATCTTCACAACTTTAGTGGATATACAGTGGCGTTGGACGCTGCTATGTTTCATCTTAAGTTTTCTTTTATCTTGGCTGGGTTTTGCAGTGATTTGGTGGCTAATAGCCTTCACCCATGGTGACTTCGAAGAGCATCATTTACCGCCTTTTCAAGTGGAAAACAACTGGACACCATGCGTTTACAATATTTTCAGCTTCACTAGTTGTTTTCTCTTTAGTATCGAAACTCAGCATACTATTGGATATGGCAGCCGTTCTACTACCGAAGAATGCCCTGAAGCTATATTTATTATGTGCCTTCAGAGTATCGCTGGTGTCATGATCCAAGCTTTCATGGTAAGTATATGTTTAAAGAATGTTAAGCTCTTACATATAAAACATCGAATCGTAAAAAGTTAAATTTAATTAAAGAATTAATTGCAGGTGGGCATCGTATTTGCTAAAATGACCAGGCCAAAACAACGTACCCAGACTTTATTATTTTCGCGAAATGCTGTGATTTGTCAACGAGATGGTGAGCTTTGTCTCATGTTTCGAGTGGGTGATATGAGGAAAAGTCACATAATTGGCGCGAGTATACGCGCACAAATGATTCGCAATAAAATAACCAAAGAGGGTGAAATTCTGTTTCAACACCAGCATGAACTGGTGGTAGGTACTGATGGTGAAAATGGCGATCTATTTTTTATTTGGCCAGCCACCATCATTCATAGGATCAACGAATCTTCGCCCTTCTTCAATATGTCTGCCGAAGATATGTTAACTGAACGTTTCGAAATTGTTCTAATCTTAGAAGGTACTATCGAATCTACTGGACAAACTACTCAAGCTAGGTCTAGCTATCTTCCTCAAGAGATTCTATGGGGCCATCGTTTCGATCCCATTGTAAGCTACTCAAAGGAACGACAAGGTTATGAGGTAGACTATTCACTGTTCAATAGTACTACTCAGGTTGACACTCCATTGTGCTCTGGCAGGGAGCTTGCAGAATTTTATAAGGCGCAGGATGATCTTCGTCATGGAACTGGTACGCGATCATGTGATCGATTTCTTATATAAATTGTACAGATAATTTTCTAAATCCTTGGTTTATTAAATGAACCTGGAGCTTAATATCCAAAATAACAATTTATTCCAGTTTCTTTGAAAGCATTGATTTAAAAACACTTACCATTTCTTACAATTATAATTATTAAATTATTGCATATAAAATATTGCAAAATTAGTTTTATAAAAAATTTTATAAAGTTACTACTAGTTATAAAGTTCATATTATAACCAACCAAAATTATTCAAATGTAGAGAGGGCCAAATGATAGCAATATAAGAAAACGACGCGATAATTAGTGCGCTATTAACAATATATTACTAAATTACATTCAAATTAAAATATAAATTGTCATCTTTTCAATGATGTCCCTAAATGAAAAAAAACTATCATTTGTAGATCGCAGATAATGAAGATGGCTTGAAGTAAGTCGAAATGCAGGGCCGTATCTGGGTATAAAGTCGCTTGCGTGTAAGCTTAGTACTTGGCGCCTCCCCCCATGCTACATAAAAATAAAAAATGCTGTATATAATATGATAGAAATGTTTTATTCCAAAAAATATAATATACCTACTTGTAAGTCTTTTTTAGAATTTATATGAGCAGTCTTTAAAAATCAATAACAAACATATATCTATATATTGAACAAATATTATAAATTACATAATATTGCGACGAAGCGATTATCTGCTGTGTCGTTCTTGAATTCAGCCACTTTGCGAATCGCAGCTGTCTCACACGCACATGCTACTGCATTATGTAAAAGTGAGATCCCGCGGTAGAGAGTAGGGGATCTCACGTTCCATGAATTGGTAGCTCTTCTGAGAGCATTCACTTGAATTTAATTTGTGAAAAAATTTCTTTAATCACCGAACGTTTGCAATATGGATAATATTAATAAAACGCGCTCACGAGCATAAAAAATTTTTACTTGTGATTTTGGCGCCCTTATAAAAACGGCGCCTGCGTGTGATACACACATTGCTCACTCGGTAACTACGGCCCTGTCGAAACGCATAACAAACTCGACAGTTCGTATTAATTTGGACGTAATTTACTAACGCTAAAACACTACGCGTTTTTCTTAGCGCCGAGACACTACCGTGTCTCTGGATACGTTGCGTTAATAATGCTTTAATTTTTAATTAAAAACGCGTTGTTTTCTTGTATTGCTTTCATTTGTCCCCTCCCCCCTCTTCAAATAATTTCTGTTGATTATTGAATTTCAAGATCTCACTAATTTATTATTTGTGACTGTTCATATTATAAATCAAGAATTAGAACAGCGATATACAGATAGTGCAATATTTTATTAAAAATGAAATCTAGAGCTGATTTCTTGTAAGATAATAATATAGATCAAATTCTCCATTATCGTGATATAAGATACTCATAACAAAACAAATCCTACCCATACAGCACCGAAAGTTTTCAGAAATATCTCAAAAATATTTCAATTGAAAAATGAAATATTTCATAAAAATTGCGAAATATGTCTGCAACATTTCTGGGACAGCTCTGGAATAACAAAATGTCCGCGATTTTTTCACATGAAACCTTGTTGAAAGATTGATGAAATGTTACAGAAAGAATCTGCAATCTTTTTTAAATATTATCAAAAAGTTTTCAGCTATTTTTAGTACTTCAAAAATGATATTTAAATATATACTTGATTGATACTTAAATAATATTTAAATTTAGTATGTCGACATAAAAAATTTGGATATTGTTTAAGTATCAATTAAACATGTATTTAAATATCATTTCAGGAGTACTTAAAATTTAGTAAGAGTTTTATGATCTGTTTACAGATTACAAAACTGATTGAAATAAACTTAAAGTATTTCTCAAAAATGGTAATTATATCGCCAACTATTTTGATTAATTAATCACATTATATGTAAAAGCACATATACATAATCACTATTAGAAAAATAGAAAGTCTCTTACACCTGCAGTTTCCACACAAAATCATTATTTATATACAAAAGTTTCGAAATTAAAGCATAACAAGTCATTCATATAAAAAAATTTTTTGCGATTAAAATAGAACAACTTACGATAACATCAAAATGACATTAAACTGAACCATGATTGATCAAAAAATGACTTTTAGTAAATATCTTGGAGCCATTTTAACATCATGATGATTTTTTTGTTCTGTTTAAATATGTTTTTCAATTTATTGTATATAATAGATTTTAGAAACATTTCTGTTAAAACATTTCATATGACATATTGCAGAATACTTTCAGAATTGTTGCACATGAGATGTGAAAGGTTGAAACATTTCTGAAAATTTTTCGCAACAATCGGTGCTGTATGGGTATCTATAATACATTATTTATTTACATTATAATCAATGGTCGCATTCAGCAGACTCAACTGTTGCAGAGCGGATCCGTGAACACTCGCTGCTATTGGATGATCTAAAAGAATAAACAAATAGCAGGGAGCGCTCACGGATCCGCTCCATAACAGGTGAGTCTGCTGAACGCGACCAATACCTACCTATGTTACAATTAATCAGACATACTTAACAATCAATACATTTGTAAATCTAAGATAATTTTTTTATGTACATTCGATAATTGATTCTACGTTATTATACAATTTATAATGTTGTAAATGCATTGTTCGTTTACACTTATCTCTAGAATTCAATATCGAAGAATTTACTTTCTCATTATAATAACTGAATTTGTTTTTAGACTTTAACAGAGTTATCTATAATCAGATTTAAAATTTTATTTTGTTATACACAACACATGAACGCGCATATAGATCTTTTCGAATCTATTTATTGCTAATATTTGGTAGGAAGGAACTAATACAGTGGATGTAAAAAAAACTGCATTAGTATGTTATTACTTTCCTTATTCGAAAGCTTCTAAACTTCATAATTATTAAGGACTATTAATTGTGCTAATTATTAAGGCGATGCTGGAGTCGCCTGTATTATCGATAAAACTAACGTTTTCGATGTTTTCGTTCATGTCGAATTTCTTCGTAGTGGTTTCACAGAATAAAAATTTCTTTTCTACGATTAAAATGTACATGCTAATGTATTTGTCGCTGGTGTATTTTGTGTTCAAAAAGCTGAAAAAAATAAAACATTACAAATTTCTTTATCCATTTTTATCTTAGTATGGCGACCAACATTGAAGGTAAAATGGATAAAAAATATCTATAATTTTTTATTTTTTCCAGCTTTGAACACACTAGTCAAAAACACTAGTTTTATCGGTAATACAGGCGGCTCCAGTATCCCCTTAAAGGAATCCTAAAGTTTGTATTACCGATTAAATTGTAATTTTTGTATAATAATTACATCTTTTCCTGTTTTACAGATTCGAAAATCCTTTTCCTGAATTAAATATACGCAATATACGTGCTGTGAGATGGTGTTTATGCCGAGAACAACAAAAAATTTCGAAATTGAAATCATAAAAAAAATTTTTTGCCGTCCTCGACATAAACTCCACCTCACAGATACGTATTAATGCATATACTTTAATTCTAAAAAATTTTCGAATCTGTAAAAGAGGAAAAAATGTAATTGTTATACAAAAATTACGATTTAGTCGGTAATACAGGCGGCTTTAGAATCCCCTCAACTGGTATGTTAACACTTAGTACAGAATCCATAGACGTTGCTCAAGACTCGAGATGGTCTTAAGCTAGTGCTTGAACCAATCAGAGAGCCGTATTAGCATCTTAAGACATTACTTGAGATTAAGACCGGACTATGAATTCCGGCCTTAGTTTGAACCAGGTCTCTGGCATTCGATGGTTTCATGTGACACTCTTATTGTCCGAAATGCGCTGAGGACGCTGATAGTACTTAGGCCGGAATCCATAATAGGCAGAGAAACAAGCATTCAGACAGACAGATGTTGCAGACACTTTTGGTCACCTAGGGCCTTCCTAGTATGTATGTTCTAAGAAAGTAGCGCATTCCTTTGATCTGAGCTGAAATGCCAACAACCTTTCTATTGGCTATTTCGACTGCCATTTCGATTTAGTCGTCTGTAGTTCAATAAGCGCTTAGTATTATTGGTACAGGGTATGATTAGCAGATCCAACATGGAGGACCTATGCGCTACTTTGATATATAGAGCCTTAGGTTTTCTCTGCTGAACGCAGCCATTATTGTCTTTTCTAACTATCTGGTACTGGTTTTGTCACAGATGGAAGCCTAAAGAAAATCCCTAGCGAACCGAAGAGTGTCCCAATTGTGCTCAATATGCTCCCTCAAGCAGACAGCACAGGCTTCCTCATCCATCAAGATCGCTGTTCTCAGAAACCGTCCAAACTGCATATTGATATTCCATCTATCGACGATAGTCCTGGAGTGTAACTTATGTCGGCCAGAAAAAATTAAAATAAGGAACGAAAAAAAAAAAGAGAAATAGGAATAGATCACAAAAGAAGAGAATGATGAATGATAGAGACAACACACACACGCGCGCGCGCACATTCCTCATCATACAAAAATTTGGATAATCCTTTTTCTTGTTTCATAATGAAGAAATAAGTTGTGTTTTTATGTTATATGTTATATAACTAAAGAAGATTAATTACACATAAATAAATCAATTAAAATGAGAGAATTGTAATCCTTAAGGTGAAGTCCCATGGAGCCAGCATACAGCGTACCGGCGTACGGTGGAAAAGAATTAGGCCATCCATAGGGTTTACGATCGTTTTCGTTATACCAGCACAAACATATGCAGTCTACAATGAACAGTAGTAGTAGTAACCATGTTGGGAGTAAGCTGGTTTTCCAGCTAAGCCATTAATGGTTAGTCGACGAACGTTGATTCAACGTCGCTCGACGTCAAATCGATGTTAATTCAACGTCGATTGATGTTAATTCTATATTAATCGATCATTCACTTGTAGCTAGGGATGTAACAGAGCGTAGAGTAAGTCCGTAAGCGAAATGGTTGAAATCCATGATTGAACTGAGTGCATGAAGGGACATGTAAGTACAATTTAAAAGATGAACCACCAATCACCGTACTTGAAATCGTGTATTATGTGCACTTCGGCCATTTTGTCGCAACATTCTGAAATCAATTGCTTGTACTTACATGTCCTTTCGTACACTTTCATGCATTAAACTTCTAAAGCAAATAAATCCGTATTAAACTAAAGAATACATAAATTAAGCATTCATACATATTCTTTTGGTCATAAATAAACTAATTACAACTAAAAAATATTGACGTATTACATATTTGACGGCTTCATTTTCCCAAATAAAGCACGTAATACAAATGCATAAATTCGAAATGGCCGCGTTTTGCAACAAAATGGATGCGAGTTTGCGATACTTTATAGATCTAGTGACTTTAATACAAGAGCTCAGTGAGCGGTCGTGGTATTGGGTGCATCCAGAAGCGCAGAGCGCTCAGTGAGCTCTTGCATCTGATTGACATATTCCATTAGAGCTAAAAATGTAAACCAAACAGGTACAAGAGCTCACTGAGTTCTCAATGAGCGGTCGTGTTTCTGAATGCACCCACTGAATGCACCCATTGCGTGTCGTAATATTCAGTCAAATAATCTATTAGAGATCCAAAAGTCTTTCAATGAACGAATTAGGATACATGCTAATGCTCGTGAGCAGGGTTGGGCATATATTAAACATGGTTTGTATACGTATAATACTGTATATTATACGTATTATACATGTAAAAAACTACTCGTAGTTCTAAATTGCTCAACTCTGCTTGTGAGCGCGCATTCGAGAATGGACGATAAACTCTTCTTTTTCAATTTTTTTTTATCTGTGACCTTGAATTACCTTGAGTTTCTATAATTATTGTATTCGTCTTGGGGTGACTACACGCATAGACATAAGGGTAAAATCACACGGTGTGATTTCACCCTAAGAGGTTTGTTCGCGTCGCATGTTCCAATGGGTGCATTCAGTACTACAACCGCTCTCTGAGCGCTCAGTGAGATCTTGAATCTGTTTGGTCTATATTTTTAGTTCTAACGGAATATGCCAATCAGATGCAAGAGCCCATTGAGTGCTCTGTGAGCGGTTGTAGTACTGAATGCACCCAATATGTGTTCCAATATGCTCCTATATACCGTAACTGGAGTCCCATAAAGCGTATTTGCCGCGTATCGCGTAACCAATTAGTAATCAGTTAAGACCAAGTAAGACACGAAACCACAATAGCGGATCGCTTCTGATTGATTACGCGGTTATGTGATATGCGGCAAATACGCCTCATGGGACTCCAGCATTACTCACTCCAAGACGCTTGGTAAAATGAGAAGAGGTTTGGAGCTTGCATGTTGGAGCTTGCGACGCGAATAAACCTATAGTATAAAAAAATATGAATGTCGTCTCCACTTTAAGGCCTATTACACAATAGAGTCGCAATTCGTAAGCCGTAAGAAATTAAATAATCATAGTCGATTATTCTTCTCATACTTAACTGTGATTGATCAATTTCTTACGGCTTACGACTTGCAACTATTGTAGAACAGGCATAAATGAAATTACTACATTTTTAAACACCTACGTATGTCGTATAGTCATAAACATAGTTAGGGCTGCACAGACTAAAAGAAACAGGGAATAGAGAACGGAGAATAATGGTACGTTTCCACTGAGCGCGTCGTCCGTTCGCGTCACGAGTTAACCAATCAAAACATCTGATAAATCACGCAGAGTCGCGCATCAAATGATACAATAAAATGGGATGTTTTGATTAGTTGACTCGTGACGCGGACGAAGCGACGCGTGACGCGCTCAGTGAAAACGTACCATAAGAATTTCAACTTATCAGAAATCATGTATTGTGGAATACAGTTTCTGATAGGTTGAAATTCTTATTCTCTGTTCCCTGTTCTCTATTCCTTTTATTCTGCGCAGCGCCTAACTATGTCTATGACTATATAACACACGAAGGTGTTTAAAAATGGGTAGTAATTTCATTTATGCCTGTTCTACAATAGAGTCGCAAGTCGTAAGCCGTAAGAAATTGATCAATCACAGTTAAGTATGAGAAGAATAATCGACTATGATTGTTTAATTTCTTACGGCTTACAAATTGCGACTTTATTGTGTAACAGGCCTTAAAGTGGAGACAACATTCATATTTTTTTTAGTGTCTCCACCTAAAAAAACCGATGTAACCGTAAAGTACAGAAGCGGTCATTAAGTCCTGATCTACAATAGGTGTTTTAAGCCTTAAGCCGTAAGAAATTGACCAATTACAGTCGAATTCGAGGAGAATAATCGACTATGATTCGTCCATTTCTTATGGCTTAAAGCTTAAAACCCTATTGTACATCCGAGATAAACCCGAATCTACAATAGGGTTTTAAGCCTTAAGCCATAAGAAATGGACGAATCATAGTCGATTATTCTCCTCGAATTCGACTGTAATTGGTCAATTTCTTACGGCTTAAGACTTAAAACACCTATTGTAGATTCGGGGTAAAGGCCATCACACATACAAAAATCTGAAATTCACTAAATTTTCTATAGTATGCGTAATGTATACTGTATGAAACGCGTGCGCATTACAACTCAGCGGAAAGGTATTAATAACCGCTAGCGTACATCCCCTTCAAAATCGTTCCATTTTCATCTGAAATATTTTGTTGTATTATCAATAATTTCAGAGAAAATTGACTGGATTGATTAAAATGGGACACCCTGTATATGTGTATATATATTATATATAAACATAATATAAATTTCTTTGGTCTGACTTTGTTCTATATCTACTTATACATAAATTATATATTTCTGGAACATTCTTTTTAAAATAATCAGAGATTGTTGCAGTTACTGTAATCTAATGGATAGTTGAGGTTTGATATATACATAGCTGTTCTAAAGGAGAACTTTTCAATATAAATACAACAATATAAATACTAAAAATTCGAAGTATTATAAGTAAATATTACTTTAATCTTAAAATTTAAATTATATTTTTTTTAATCGAAATCTTTTTATATGTTACTAATAATGCATCTATGACAATTTTTGTCAGAAACTGGAACAATCTCATGACTATAACAATATGATTACGTTTTTGAATATATGTGATTCATTACGAAAAAAAGAAGTCTTATTTTTTAAAACACTTTTTAAAATGCTAGATCAAAATCGCAATTCAGTTTGAATATAGAATTGTGCTAATACAATGAAATTGATAATTCATATTAAATTGATTCAATATTAAGAGTGTCATGCTTTATCAATCATTGATCAGATATAAAATTACATTCCTTTCCATGTTTTAGGCCGATATTCATAGTCAGATCTTATTTCAAGACTGTCTTAAGTAATGTCTTAAGATGCTAATACAGCCCTGATTGGTTCGTGACATCTCAAAACTGAACTTAAGACGGTCTTGAATATAAGAACTGACTATGAATACCGGCCTTAGATATTACTATCTTCAAATCAAAATCTTAATATATTTATTTAATTTTTTATTTTAAATGTATATCAAATTTTCTATATTTCTACCTTCTTTCTTTTTCTAAAACATAACAAGAATACGCATTTTATTTCAAGTGTTACAGATATAAGAAAATGCAGTTGAATAAATAAATCTGTCGTCGAAAAATTTATAAAAGACATGTCTTAGACAAAAATCTTTCAAATTCTGTACATTTCAATTTCATTTTATGAAAAATGTGATATAAACAATTTGATTATTTAACATCTCTGTATAACTTATTACATTCACATAAATGCATCTATAAATGTAAATCTTAATTTACTCCATTATATGCCAGTTAATGGATCAATACAATTACTTCGTTGTACTGGCAAGATTCATAAGTTCAAACTGATTTGTGATTTTAATAATACGGACATATTACATCTTGCAAAATTATTCATCATTATTTTGGTTCTTTCAAAGAATAAATTAGAATATATACACTAATGTTTGTTGGCGCACATTCGAGAGTGGACGATGAACTTTCTTTTTCAACTTTTTTTATGTCTGTGACCTTGAATGATTTTGAATTTCTATAATCATTGTATTTGCTGTAGATATGAATATACTCATATACAGAATATTGCATACAAGTATAGGGGTATTGTATTAAGGGGATGGTGGAGTCATGAAATTATTGATACATTACAGCCGTATAAAAACTTCTGAACTGATTGAACGAAATAAAAATCTCCTTTTACAGGATTGAAGTAGACGCAAAACTGGAAGTAGAGCAGTGAACTTTATACTAATTATAAGATCGGAAAAAAATTAAGAACTTACATTTTTCAACTCGTAAAGCTGTCATCTGATGTAGACGATTCCTTAATATAAAAGTTCTATAGCTCGTATGGACAAAATAACATTGCACCACCCGTCGGATTACATGAACAAACAATATTAAGTTTCTAGAATTAAGATTGAAAGCTTAAAAAGAAGTTTTAAGCTTAATTTACAATGTGCTCTTTGTTTCCAGTATCTTGCTTTTTACCACTTTTATTTCTTGCTTTTTGTCCA